CAGAAGATGGAGGTGGAAGAGCGGGCCGAAGATGAGGAATGTGAGAATGACGGGGTGGACAGTAGCCTTCTCTGCCCCTATGGCCCGCCTCCAGATAGCCCCGGCAATCTCCTCCGCTTCCCCCGGTTCTTTGGACCAGGCGAGTTCGACCCCTCTGTCGACATCTATGCCATGAAAAGCCATGAAAGTGCCACGAAGAAGTGGGTCTGTTTCATGGCCATCATCTATAATCTCACACCGTATGATGCTAAGAAGAAAGCTGCACAAGCTGCCAAAACAGTGAAGCACGGGGCAGGGGCTGAAATCTCCACTGTTAACCCGGAGCAGTACTCGAAACGCTTCAGCGAGTTCACATCCAACATCCGGATGTAGCCATCTCTACCTTCCACCAGGGCCAGAAGGCTAGACAAGGGGTGGGGGTCGCGAGAGAGAAAGGTTGTGTTTAGGCTAGAGAGGGTAGGGAGCAGATAGGGGTCAGGAGGGATTTAGTAGAGGGGCTCAGCCTGTGACACAGAACCAGAGCAGCACTACAGGGAGACATTCTTTTTGCGCATGTGCCCATAGGATGTAGCCTTCCTTCCTGCTGGCCCTTGATAGGCGCCTCTCGTCCCTCTTTGGTTTCTTGTAACCTTTGTGATACTGAAGACCCCAGCTTAGCTGCCGTAATGCCATTTTGCAAAGCCTTCACACAAACAAATGTAAGTTCAAGGTAAAGTCAGTACTCCTAGGCGGTCAAACAGGATATCTATGGTCAGACACCAGGCCTAGGAGGGGAACGAACAGTTCTGGGAAAAACTACATGTATCCTAGATAGGGCCAAGTCTGGTATTATTATCAGACCTTCATGTCTCCGGGGAACTTGTCTCCTAAATGAACCCATCGCCTCATTTGAACTGACCAATGAGATCCCTGTAACCATGCATTGCTTCTGTATGCCTGCTTTTGCCACCCTTTTCCTAATAAAAGACCTTCTCCCAGCCTGCAAGCGTGCAAAGTCCTCCGAAAGGACTTTGCTGCCCATAGGTACCTGTGCCTACCCAATAAACCTCTTGCTAATTGCAGCCTGTGGTCTCGACTGTTCCTTGGGTTTGGGGTCTCCTCCTGAGGGAAGGACCACTCCGGGGGTCTTTCAATACCTTGGGGCTAGAGATGACTTGGTGGGTTTCTTTGGGTTTGTCTCTTGAAATCATTGCGCCGGGTTTGCTATGTATACTGCTCCATGTCATCACTAGCTGCCCTCCGTGTCCTGTCTGGCTCTCGGTTCCCTTCAGTAAAGACTGGCACGGGGGCCATGAGCAGCAAGTGCGCTGATCCCGCGAGAAGAGGCCAGACTCCTCTGGAAGCCATGTTTTGGTCTCTCCTAAACTGACTTTTGAATTTCCTGGAGTATTGTGCATAGTTTTCCTCCGTGTTTCCACGTTGGGTTCAGGTGAAAGGTCGCACCCACTTCTCCATGCTGCCCTCGCGGAAGAACATTGCAGGCTGACCCCAGCATCTAAGACCAGAGTCAGAGGCCTCAGGGGGGAACAGGTTCATCTTCATGAGATGGTGTGTGCCCGGAAAGAAGCTGGGCTCTCAGGCAGCTGGTTCTCAAAGAACCCGGTGATCACCAACCCAGCCATCTGCGTCTCCGACTTGGATTTTTGATGTCTGTCAAGCCTGCTTCCCACTGGCTCAAGGGGAACTAGAGAGCATCTTTGCATTATCAGGACCCCTGGCTGTTTCTCTTTGGATAAAAATCCCAGAAACTAATACAGAGTGCATCATCCATATCCTAACTCCTGACCTCTGTGTGCAATCACCTGTAACTGGTGTTGGTCAGGGGCAGAGCCCTAAGTACCTGGGTGCTCCCTGCAGAGACACTACTTTGAGCCCCGGCCTACATTGTAGGTGTCTGGTCTCAGTGCCTGTGATTTCTCAACCTGGACAGCTTCAGCCATCTTGACGATGTGACTCAGGAAAGCCTATTTGGAGGCCAGATGTGGAGTTTGACCCATCCCCAGCCTCAGGGCTGATTTTCCTTGTTGCCCCCTCACCCTCTCTGAACTTGGGGTCTGCTTACAGGCCTCCTTGGGAAAGAGCTACACACCCTGCAGGCTCCTTCGGGATTCCGGCCCAGGGCCTCAGAAGGGAGCTACACAAGTCATTCTGATGCCACCAGAGCAATTGGAGGCCAGGAAGGAAAATGGCCCTGTTGGCTTGCACTGGGAGTGGCACATTCCTGCCTCCTCCCGACCCTCAGAAGGAATCAGGAATTTAGGATGAGATGGAAAATGTGTAGATAACCCCAAGTATGTGAAGCAGGTTTGTGGAACTATCTCGGGTGAATAATTGACTTCCTGTGACTGCCTCCCAAACTAGCTCAACTTAGGGAGCAGGAGCCATTGTGCGGTGTCCTCCCTACCCGGTGTTAAAGGAAGCAGTCTTGGGCTTCTTTCTCTATGTTGTCACATTGGGCGAAGGCCTTCTGGTCAGGCAGGTGGGAACCACACTTCTTCTCTAGAAGAGTATAGTTAAGGTTCTGTGGAGCAGAGCCACAAGGGTCTTGGGGAAGTACTCAGAACCAATGGTTCAAGAAGAAATGTTTTAATTTAGGACAGGATTATGTAGGAATAATATCTGGATGTGATTTCCCACCTCACAATCGAGGGTGAAAAATCCAGATCTGCTCCAGCAGCCCCAAGTTGGAAGGCGAGGTTCCTGGCTGATCTTATTGTCATGCGTATGAAAAGTGTAACAATTTTATCATGCAACTATCAGATCTAACTTATATAACATTGAGTTTTGTGGGGGTTTGTTTTTTGTGTTGTTTATTTTTTTTTTGTATATTGTTTACAGTTTTGAGAGGTAGCTAAAAAAATTTAAAAATGCAAACAGACCCAAAATGAATTCAATAACCTTTGGAATAAAAGTACAAGGATCTTCTTGTGTTATGATGTGCACAGTTCAGTAGTTTGTGCATATTTCTGTATCCCAGTGGAGCTTTTGCTGTCAAGAGCTTTTCAGGGGCTGGAATGATGCTCTAATGGTTAAGAGCATGTACTCCTACAGAGGGAGGACTCGGAGGAGTTTTGACTCCTAGCACCTACATCAGGTGACTCAGCTGCTTGTAACTCCAGCTATGGGGGACCCAATGCTTCTGGTCTCCCCAGGGTTCCAACACTCACTATTGCATAATACCAACACACACATGTACACACACACGCACACACATGCTTACACATAATTAAAAATAATAAAAGTAGAATAAAAATCTTTTAAACATTGGTCTGCCGACCCACAGACATTTATAGGTCCACTTTGGTTATCTGAATGGGTCCTGCCCTTTTCTGCCTCTTAATTCCTATTCTGTTCCCATCTTAGGACTATTTGTGGCATTTTATATACCTGCAGTTGTTTAGACCCTCCCTGCAGAGAAGATAAAGAAGAGCCTGACTGGGTTCTGGGGTTTCTTCTGGCTGGGTAGAGGCCTAGACTGCTGACTCCAGGAGATGATCTCATTTTCCCTTCCTTCCTCCCTCCCTTCCTCTCTCTCTCTTTCTCCTTTCTTTCTTTTTTCTATCTTTTCTTTTTTCTCTCTCTCTCCTTCCTTTCTTTTTTTTCTTTCTCTATCTTCCTCCTTTTTTTTCTTTCACAGAGATCTATCTGCCCTAAGTATCCCAAGTGCTGGGCTTGAAGGTGTGTCCCATCACTACCGACAAATTATTTCATTTTCTTAAATATCAGCAAATAAGCAAAGTGCACAGGAAACTAAATGGAAATGTAATTCTGTTGTTTAGAGAAAGGAGGCATTACAAATAATCTCTCTAGTTAGGAAGGCATGTGTGGCATTGTCTTCACTACAGGTGTTCTCTCTTGTCCCTGCCCAGCTGTCTCTTGAAAGGAAAAGAAATTGGGAAGCCTAGTGTACCAGAGCAAGTAGTGATCCCTGCGTGGTAGAGTACTTTACAATACCCTGTCTCAAATGCAAAGGAACAAGCCGGGTGGTGGCGGCGCACGCCTTTAATCCCAGCAATCAGGAGGCAGAGGCAGGCGGATCTTTGTCAGTTCAGGCCAGTCAGGTCTACAAGATCTAGTTCCAGAACAAGCTCTAAAGCTACAGAGAAACCCTGTCTCAAAAACAAAACAAAACCCAAAGGAAATAGAAAAAGGATGTGGAAACTTGTTCCTAGGGGCAGATAACTCCCTCAGAGCTAAGGTATAGGGAGTATGTGAGACTTGATTGGGCTTGAGGTCTGGTAAGAGTCTGTCCTGAGTGGGAGGGAAATCGAAGGAAGGGAGGAGGTGGAAATTTTTAATAAATAAATACATTTTAAAAAAATCAACATTAAGCTGGGCGATGGTGGCGCACGCCTTTAATCCCAGCAGTCAGGAGGCAGCAGCAGGCGAATCTCTGTGAGTTTGAGACCAGCCTGTTCTACAGAGCTTGTTCCAGGACAGGCTCCAAAGCCACAGAGAAACCCTGTCTTGAAAAACCAAAAAAAAAAAAAAAATCAACATTTAAAAAAAAAGAGTCTGTCTTGATGTTGGGTAGACAGTTGTCAACGCCCTGTGTTCACAGTTAGGATGTCTGCTGCTTTCCAACACATATTTTTTTCCCCGTTTCTTTTGTTTTTTTGAGACAGGGTTTCTCTGTGCAGCACTGACCGTCCTGGAACTCTATCTGTAGACCAGGCCTCCAACTCACAGAGATCTGCCTGCTTCTCTGTCTCCCAAATGCTGGGATTAAATGCATGTGCTACTAAGCTCCAGCAACAACAAGCTCCTGAAGATCAGAAACCAGTCTAGGTGCAAGGCCTCCCTCTCAGGTGCAGACCACAGGAGACCAGGTGAGGAGAGGCAGGGCTTCTGGTAGAGGAAGCAAGGCCTAAGAGCCAATTGGAAGGACAAGGGGGGAGGGGCTAGCAAACAGTTCTTGAAATACAGCTCTCCAGAGAGGCTTCTTTTGGGTTTACTGGGTTTGGAGTTGCCTAGTCTGTTTATGACGATACTGGTGCACTATGGCCCCTTTTAAGACTTATAAGTCACTGGTCCAGCTGAAGCACAAAGAAGGGACCTTATTTGAAGTGGTCGGAGACTCCAGCACGCTGCCCAAGTGGTTCTGTACCGAGCATCTGGATGATCCAAAGACAGTGTACGTGAATCCTTGGTTTGTGGAAGCGATATTTGGTGAGTGACCTGGGGAGGGAAGGCAAGAGGTAACCTCTTCCTGACTCCTTTGCCTGAGTATGTCCTATAGAGAGAGCCTGTCCAGTGGCTGTGGCCCCAGGCCTGTGCCACCTCTATCCAGCTTCCTCAACCTCTGAATGAATGTGCCAAGAAGTGGGAGCCACCTCACCCTTATGTTCCTCCTGTTTTCCTGCTCAGGCAAGGATGGAGAGTACATCCCACATGTCGAGAGTATGTCACGTACCTTGCTTCAAGTGACCCATTGGCGTCCTGAAGAGGATGCAGAGATTTTGATATTCGGGCCTCCTTATTATCAAGATGATGTTTCCCAGATGATTTCCAACTTGGTTAATTATTTCCGTCCGCGAATGATACAAGGTATGGACTGGGAGTTGTAGGGCTGCCTTGCGTAGCACACCTGGCTCCTTGGAGGGGATCCCCTGGGGAAAGTAGGTTTCAGAAATGATGTAGGAGGCCAGATAGCTCTGTGTTTGGGAACCTTTGTGCCCCCTACCCCCCACGGTCCCAAGGGTGACTGTCCTTACTGGTGTCCTTTCACTGCTTTTCTTCTGACACAGAGGAGAATCTTTTTCAAGAGGATGAGACCCAGTGTCTTCCTGTGGAGGTTCACGAGGTTGCCACCCAGCTGTCTCCTGTGGGGAAGGTCCACGAGGCTACCACCCAGCTGTCTCCCGTGGGGAAAATCCATGAGGCTGCCACCCGGCTGTCTCCCGTGGGGAAAGTCCAAGAGGCTTCCACCCAGCTGTCCCCCATGGAGGTCCATGAGGCTGCTACTCAGCTGGCTCCTGTGGCGGTCCATGATGCTTCCACCCAGCTGTCCCCCGTGGAGGTCCGTGACGCTGCTACTCAGCAGGCTCCCGTGGAGATCCATGACGCTGCTACTCAGCAGGCTCCCGTGGAGGTCCGTGACGCTGCTACTCAGCAGGCTCCCGTGGAGGTCCGTGACGCTGCTACTCAGCAGGCTCCCGTGGAGGTCCGTGACGCTGCTACTCAGCAGGCTCCCGTGGAGGTCCATGACGCTGCTACTCAGCAGGCTCCCGTGGAGGTCCAAGAGGCTTCCACCCAGCTGTCTCTTGTGAAGGTTCAAGAGACTTCCACCCGGCTGTCTCCCATAGAGGTCCATGATGCTGTCTCCCAGCAGGCTCCCGTGGAGATTGGTGATGCTGCTACCCAGCAGGCTCCTGTGGATGTCGCTGAGGCTGCCACCCAGCTGTCCCCCGTGGAGGTCCATGAGGCTGCTACCCAGCGGGCTCCTGTGGAGGTCCATGATGCTGTTTCCCAGCAGACTCCCATGGAGGTTGGTGATGCTGCTACCCAGCAGGCTCCTGTGGATGTCGCTGAGGCTGCCACCCAGCTGTCCCCCATGGAGGTCCATGATGCTGCTACTCAGCAGGTTCCCGTGGAGGTCCGAGAGGCTTCCACCCAGCTGTCTCTTGTGGAGGTCCAAGAGACTTCCACCCAGCTGTCCCCCGTGGAGGTCCATGAGGCTGGTACCCAGCAGGCTCCTGTGGAGGTCCATGAGGCTGGTACCCAGCAGGCTCCGGTAGAGGTTGGTGATACTGCCGAACAGCTGGCTCCTGTGACTGTCTATGAAGCTCCCACCCAGCAGGCTCATGTGGAGGCTAGTGAGGCTGCCACTGAGCAGACCTCAGGGGCTGTTCATCGGAATGTCGTTCAGGAGGCTGCCACTCAGCAGCATTCTGTAGAGGCCTCTGAGGCTCTGCCCTAGAAGTTTCCTGAGGTTGTTCTTGAAGGGGGGGACCCAGAATTCTCCAGTGGAGAGCCATGAGACTGGAGCCCAGCAGTCTCTGGATGTGCCATGCCAGTATTGAGCCTCCACGGGCTTCCTGGAAACCAGTTACCAGGTTATAAGGGTGACTCACATGTTGAACTAGAATAAATGTAGTACACATCAGTAATCCCACACTCTGGAGGCAGAGGCAGGGTACTCTCTAGTTCTAGGCTAGCCTGGGATGAATGATGCAGTGATCTTTAACCCCTGCCTAAGTTTTCAGACATGATCTTTGTTCTTTTTCACCTTTGAAGTTGGAAAAATGGAAAAAGACTTTGTTTTCCCCTAGTGTTAATGTTTGCAAACACAATTGAAAATATTCCAATAAAGAACTGCATCCTCCAAAGTGTTGTTTGAATGGTAGAAAAGGAACAGTGTTCTTTATCAGCCAAGGCTGTTGGATACCCTCCCTCTCTTCTTGAGGAGGGTGGGGTCTCTTAGATTTTTGGTTCTCACCCCAGCACTCACAGGATCAAATACTTCCCTTGTTCCTGAACCCTGTACATCTGGCAGAGATGGGGCTGCCTTGCAGGGCCAATGATTCTCGGCCTGCTACTTTACTTGTGGTGCCTTGAGTGGACCTGGGGTTTGAAACTTGGTTATTTGGTGAAACTTGCTTTGAAGGATCCATTTAGTTATACCGAGTTGTCACTAGCTACTTTTTGGTTTTGGCTAGTGTCACTCTGGGAGGGAAATTGTGGGAAGTCTGGGCCTGCAATGCTGTCCTCTTCAGGACTTTTCTGGGAGGAGGGAAATTGTGGGAGGTCTGGGTCTGCAATGCTGTCCTCTTCAGGACTTTTCTGGGTCATCTGAATTCCCTGAAGTTGAAGAGCACATGGGTTGAGTCTCAGAAGTCTGAGGTGGAGGCAGCCGAATGCTCCACATTCATGCAGAAACATTCAGGTGGTAGGGCTATCAGCAGACAGTAATTGTGACATTTTTCATTTTAAAAGATGCCAGGAGGCAGGATTGAGGTGCTGTGTGTCTTTAATTGCAGCTCTCAGGAATCCGGGGCAGGCAGATCTCTGGAAGTTCAGGGTCCCCCTGGTGTACAGAGCGAGTTCTAGGCCAGCCAGAGCTGCACAGTGAGACCAGGTATCACAATTCTAGGAGATGCACTGAGGAGGGGAGGGCAAAGCAAGGGCACCTGTGCAGCAGGTCCTGTGTTCTGGGTGACAGAGCTGAGTCTAGAGATGATTGAGGACGGGATACTGAGTTTAAGGAACCTCTCCATGGCCGTGTTCTTTTCTTTTTGAGGGAGGGTCTCACTGTAACCCTGGCTGTCCTGTGACACTGTAGACCAGTCTGGCTTAGAGAATCGGCTTGCCTCTGCCTCCCAAGTGCTAGAATTAAAAGTGAGTGTGCTTGGTTTTCTGGTGAGCTATTCCTCTTTCCCTTACATTATGTGAAAATGGGCATTGTGAATTCTAGATATAAAGAACCAGGTTCGTGCCTGTGCTTGTGTGTAAATGAATAAATCCAGATAGGTATATGTAACATGAGGACCTGCTTGTTGGGGTTTCTGTCCTGCCCAGTTCCCACAGCTGGTATGACCCAAAGAAAATCACACAGAGTCTACAGTTATAAACTGATTGGCCCATTAGCTCAGGCTTCACATTAACTCTTATAACTTATATTAGCCCATTATTCTAGTATATGTTAGCCACATGGCTCAGTACCTTTTTCATCGAGACACTTCACATCCTGCTTCTTCGGTGTCTGGACAGGACTGGGAGGGAAATGGGCTTCCTCCTTCCCAGAATTCTCCTGTTCTCTTTGATGTGCCTCTACTTCCTTTCTGGCTACTGGCCAATCAGCTTTTATTTAAAACATAATTGACAGAATACAGAATTTTCCCACACCAGGTATAAATGAAGAATTTTACTTTGGTTAGGATGTATCATAGTGGTAAGTGCCTGTATACACAAGACTCTGGGTTGGAACCCCAGCACCAAAAGAAATAGATGCTGGTGATTTTACTTATTTTTCTTTTCTTTTCTTTTTTTTTTTTTAGATATTTATTTATTTATTATGTATACAATATTCTGTCTGTGTGTATGTCTGCAGGCCAGAAGAGGGCACCAGACCTCATTACAGATGGTTGTGAGCCACCATGTGGTTGATGGGAATTGAACTCAGGACCTTTGGAAGAGCAGGCAATGCTCTTAACCTCTGAGCCATCTCTCCAGCCCTTATTTTTGTTTTCTTGAGAAGAGATCCTACTATGTAGCCTTGGCTGACCTGAAACTTGGTATGTAAACCAAGCTGGCTTAACTTGGCTCTGCCTGCCTATGCTGAGATTAAAGCCTTGGACCAGCACATGAGGTTTTTATGTATAGTTCATGGAAACATTAACAGGCATTGAACTCCTATAGCTGCAGATGAAGCTCGACTTTTTGTTTTGAGACAGACTCTCTGTGTAGCACTGGTCTTTCTGGAACCTGCTCTGTAGGACAGGTTGACTTTGAACTCTGTCAGATCTGCCTGCCTCTGTCTCCTGAGCCCTGGGATTAAAGGAGTGCACCAGTACCACCAAACTGACCCTGAACTCTTTTTTTCCAGACAGAGTTTCTCTGTAGTTTTTGAGCCTTTCCTGGAACTAGCTCTTATAGACCAGGCTGGCTTCAAACTCAGAGATCCAGTTGCCTCTGCCTCCCAAGTGTTGGGATTAAAAGCATGTGCCACCACACCTTGACTTTCTGAGTCTGCTCTCTTGGTCTACCTGCCCTTACCTCCTAAATGATGGGATTATTGGCATCTGGCCAGTTCTAGAGATTTAAAACCATAACAACTATAGCTTTTCCCTGTATAAAGAGTATAAATGGGTTTCATGGCAACACTTTAGTGCATGTTTAATGACATGGACCTTGATTACTTTGCCAGTACTTTTGTCCCTGTCTCAGTTAGGGCTTCTATTGTTGCAACAAAGCACTATGACCAAAAAGGAAGTTTTAAATTGCATTTCTCCAGAATAAAAATTGCAATCCTACACTAGGCCTACAAGGTGCATGCCTTTAATCCCAGTACTTGGGAGGCAGAAGCAGGTAGATCTTTGTGAGTTTGAGGCATGCCTGGTCTACAAGAGCTAGGACAGTCTCCAAAAGAGAAACCCTGTCTTGAAACTCCACAATAAAAAAAACAACCCAAAAAACTGCAGTCCTCTAAATCTAATGCTAATTAATATATTAATGTATACTGCTACTAAATCAAGATATTAAAATTCACTTCTTTCTTTCTTAAAATTGTTGGGGGTTGGAGAGATGGATCAAAAGTTAAGAGCTTTGACTGCTCTTTCAGAGATTTTGAGTTTGATTCCCAGCAACCATATGGTTGTTCATAACCATCTATAATGAGACCTGGTTCCCTCTTGTGGGCAGGCAGTACACTGAATACATAATAAATCTTTAAAAGACATTGTCAGACTAAAATCTCTATCAATATAAATAATAAATGTAAAAAAAACCCCAAAATGTAGTTTAGAAAATGCTCTAGAAGAAAAATAGTTTCGAAAATATTTTGGAGGCTAATCAGAAGTTAGAGGTAATTAATCTGTTAGAATTTGCATTTTCTTCTACATGGATTTGTGTTTGGAAAACTAACCCAATAGTTCTATTGCTTCATTGTGGCGCTATTTTTCTCCATTTTATCCACATTGATGTGTGTAGAAACACATCCTGTATAACGTTTTGAAGAGCCTCAGTGGGATGGTAAGGAAAAATAGTTCCTTTTTATTCACATAAACATAAAACATAAAATACAGATTTAAAAAACAGCCAGGCATGGTATTGCACCCCTTTAATCCGACTAATAGGAAAGCAGAGGCAGGCATATCTCCATTTGGGGAAGGCAAGCCTGGGGTAACGGAGACCTTGGCCATATTCCATGAGGACCGTACTCATGGCAAAGCCCAAACCACAATAACATGAGTATACACGGAAAAATTCCGTAGCACTGGATGGGCAGGAATAGAAGATGGTCAGGTCCACAGACTAAAAAACCCGGATGCAGAATGCAGCCTCTGAAGCTGTGCAGGGCGAGGATGCTGTTATGCAGACGTCCGTCTCAGAGGCGCCTTCACGTACAGCGCGCATTCCAAGCACCACTTCCGGTCGGGTCAGAGAATTGCTTCCGGCGCCTAGGACGTGACGGATCGCATCACTTCCTTTTAAGCTAGGCGCCTGGGAGGTGGGGCCCACGCGGAGTCAACATGAGGATCGAGAAATGTTACTTCTGTTCCGGGCCGATCTACCCTGGCCACGGCATGATGTTCGTCCGCAACGACTGCAAGGTGAGGCGGCCGTGGCCTGCGTGCCTCCGATGACGGCTGGGGGTGGCAGCTCGCTCCGGGTTCGTGGCTCCTCGGGGTGGCCTGGGCTGGGAGTCTGGGCCTCGGCTTGCCGTAGGGTTAGGAACTCGGTCGAACGCAGGCTCAGGCAGGCTTTCTGCTGCTTTCCGACTGCGCAGGGAGCGGCAGGAGGTGGGAGTGTCTGGAGAGGTTAATGGATTTGGTGCTTGCGACCTCATAAGAGTTCTGTATTGTTGAAGGTGAGCTAGGAGAGACTCTGAATGGATGGTCTTTGGGGAACTGGCTTCCTCGCGACCTTCACTTTCCCACTTTGTCAGACCTTCGGGAGCAAAACCTTCTTTAGCCGACAAGGGACGGTACAAACTGCTGAAGGACAAGGTTTCAGTTCTTGACGCCTTGACTGACTTCTCCAGTTCTCAAGTTCAGGAAGCCTCGGAGCACGCACCCCTCCTGGCTACACCGGTTCATTTCCCCCCGAGTTCTGTGTTTCGATTTCGGCATGCGAGGGGAGAGAGCATCCTATGTAGGAAATTGCCTTATTTGAATAAGAGGTGCAGAACAGAACAGTCGAGTCTCAAAAAAGAATTGGAGTGTAAATGACAAAGGCTTGGGGTGGGGCTGTTAAAGTGAA